CTCTTCCCTCTTCCCTCCTCTTTTCCTCCATTCCAGGATTTAAGGCCTGGATCCAAGTCCCAGGTCTGACCAAACTCAGCTGTAAAGTCAGTTTGCTTCTCGGGGCCTTACTGTTTCCATCTGTGAAATGGGAGTGTTGAGCTCAGGTCATCCATCCATACAGTGACCATACAACTTTCTGTTTTAGAATAAACTATTCATTTTACTGAATTAGAAATTAATTTCTACTCCATTTTTAAAAGGGATTCTTAATATTCATGACTCATGACTGCAGTGAGAAAAAATATACCACATCCTGAAAATATAACTTGTGACTAGAAAACAGAAACTGGTGGTGCAGCGGTTAAGAGCTCGGCTGGTAACCAAAAGGTCTGCAGTTCAAATCCACCAGCCACTCCTTGGAAACCCTATGGGGCAGTTCTACTCTGTCCTGTAGGGTTGCTGTGAGTCAGAATCGACTCAGCGGTAACAGGACGGGTGGCGCCGTGGTTAAAGCGCTTGGCTGCTAACCGAAAGGTTGGCGGTTCAAACCCACCAACCTCTCTGTGGCAGTCTGCTTCCATAAGGATTTACAGCCTAGGAAACCCTATGGGGCAGTTCTACTCTGTCCTGTAGGGTCGCTGTGAGTCAGAATCGACTCAATGGCAATGGGCTTGGTTTGGTTTTGGTTTTGTTAGAACCGTTCCTGGAAAGAGGAGCAGACCCGGCCGACCCCCGCACTCTGGGAAGTTCTGACTATTCTAGCTGGTGTGGCTGAGGGTTGCTGGAGTTTATGTCTTGAGAAGTTACGCAGCTCAGCTTCTCCAAAGCTCTATGGAAGGAGCCTTAGTGGTGCAGCGGTTAACAGTGTGCAGCTGCTAACCAAGGTCGGCAGTGCAAACCCACCAGCCGCTCCTTGAGCGGAAGAGGCCGCAGTCTGCTTCCGTAAAGATTTACACCCTAGGAAACCCTGTGGGGCTGTTCTCTGTCCTGTAGGGTCGCTTGAGTCAGAATCGACGGGGTGGCAACAGGTTTGGGTTTGGGGATGTGAAAGCTCTATGGGGAGCCCCTGGGTGACACAAACTGTTGAGCACTTGACTGCTAACCAGAAGGTTGGTGGTTCAAAGCCACTCAAAGCTGGATAGGGTGATGAGAAGCTCCCTTTTTTCTTTTGTAACAGGGAGACTACGAAGGTGAAAACACGGAGTTCAACGACAGAAAAGTAAGTACGGGAGGGGCGGGGCG